TCTTCCGATCTCCCCAAAACCCCAAAACCCCTTTTAAACAAACTTTGCCAAAATTTGAAATTCAAATAATTAATTTAATACCACAACAATTTAAAATGGTATTTTTACTGACATAGCTGCTAATCTTAAAATGCACCTTTATGGCATTGAAAGACACTAATGATTTGAATCTTATCATGATTAGAGTACCTTAGATGAGCAACTATTTATTTCCAGAAACCCTTTGAGGAACCAACGATAATCAATGCTTTGAGTAAAATGCTAAAAATTCAAAGGCAAATATATACTATGCGAATGCAGGCAGAAATAATCTTTTTATATTTTACGATGACAATGTATCTGAAAAGAAGCTGCTTGAAAGTTTACATAAGTATAGCTAAATGTCTAAGAATTAAAAATTAGATTTGGGTGTAGTAACTGGATTTCTTAAGCCATAAGTTACTATAACTGATTTTTAAGCTAAATACAGTCTGCTATGGACTAAAGAAAGATAATACTTTAATGGAACAAGTTATAAGTAATAGAATAATGTATTTGCTGTAATCTAGAAGTATATGTAATGGAGAAAACTAAAAGTTATATAGGTCTAGAATTCTTGGCCAGATAATACTTATGTTAAGAGACTAGATTATTTCAAGCTCTAAAGAAGACAGCTGACTCCTGGTTAAGAGCACTTTGTCTTACTATATTCTAGTGAATGTCTTTAGTCTAGAATTGTCTAAAACGTTTTTAACAAATTTGTGAAAACCTTCCCTATGATAAAAGATTTTATTTATGAAGAGATTGATGTTACTAGTGAGATTATATAGGGATTTCACATTAATACATATACTCCATAATTACTTCTATTTAATAAGACTGATCTAAGAGCTCCACCTTAAAAACTATTCTCTAATCTTGTGAATGGCTCTTACTATAAATACTTAAAAGGTACCTCTGAGAGTTTTAGAGAACATTTGATACTTCAGAAGGAAAATAGATTAAATGCTAAAAGTTAACATTATTATTGTGGGATCAACTTTTGTGAAGATATTCATCATAATGCAAGTCTTGCTCAAAATTATCTGCAGAATCATTTCGTAGACTATGACAAAATAGTTGAAAGAGATGCATTGGAAAATAAAGAATTAGTTGGCTATAGGGCAATTCCTATAGGTAAAATGGATGGATAAGAGGTGAATTTTCCCTTGTTTAGATTAGTAAAAGTTAACTCAGATGGAAATTATGAGGAAGTCAAGGTTCTAGTAATTGCTGGTCCTCTCAACACTAAAAAATGATACTGGCAAGCTTAGAGATTCTTGAAGCAAGGCTATATGGTCGTGGGAAGAATGTCATTTATGACCTATCCTAAATTTGTTGATACCTTGTCTCATTCACAAAGCAACTTGGCTTATCTACTGTAACCCAAGACAAAAGATCTTATTAAGCTTTACTCTGCTTGGTTTCATATCGTTCGAGATCCAGACAATTATATAGATCCGAAAATGCCTAGAATTATGCTACCTAATTCGGATTCTGAGGGAGTATTTATGCAAAAAAATTTAAGCAGAGGTTTGTATAAGATTGAGCCTTTAGAAAATAGGATCTATGATATAGTACTTGTATTTTAAGACAGAGGCAAAAATGTAGAAATGTGGAATAGAGAATATAAAAACTGGACACTTAGTCTTGATTGCATTAATAGAATTATAAAGAAGACAAACTATACTATTCTACTAATTGGTAAAAGCTAACTACCTAAGAGGCTAAATGAGACTGGCAGATTGTTTACATTACCAAAATTGTCCCAACTTGAATTTTTTTAGTAACTTTCGAGATGCAAAGTCTTATTTGTAACTGGAGCTCTTGATGCCTCTCCAAGAGTTTTGACATAAGCAATGTTTTTAAATGTGTCGATAGTAGTAATTAATTCAACACTTGGAGGCTGGCATTATGTCAATAATTTAACTGGTGCCTTCTATATTAACTAGCTTGATTTTATAAGGATAGTTAGTGAAACTATAGAAAAGGTAAATCATCAATAATTAAATCCTAGAGGATGGTATTTGGATTTCCTTGAATAAAAACCGAAAGAGATTCAAAGTTTTATTAGTATGATGAGAAAGCAAAACTTTTATGATTATGATGATTTAGGTAACGATGGTTCTATTAACTTGCATTTGAATTGAATGATTTATAGAAAACTGAACTTGATTTCAAAATGCATTAAATTTTTCTGATTTTTAGCTTTCGGGGTTTTGGGGTTTTGGGG